AGACAAAATACGGAGGAAGGGGGTGAAGGGAGGGGAATAATCCTTCATTATATATATATTTCTATAAAAACATATGGAGAATTGCCTTTACACAGAGACCACGATCAGCTTAAAATTTATAAAGGTTAACTAGAAAAAAAATCTATATGGCAAATATTGCCAACAGAGATTCACCGATTTAATACTGATCAACTGAGACTACTCGTGTCTCGATTATTAGCAACAACAACAAAAATAATGTAGAATAAATAACAGAATGAGCATGGCTGTCTCTTTTCAAAGTGCCTTTTTCTCTCTGCATAGGGTCTGATCCTGCAGTTTTTATGCAGGCAAAAAAAGTAATATTAATAGCTAAGAAAAATAATCCCTCTGAGAGATTTTTGCCCGCTGCGTGTTTGCTGGATAAAGAAAAGGAAGATGGGGGCATTACTTTGAAGAATGGGCTCGAAATGAAGTGGGACCGAGCGGATCGAGCTGGGGGACCCCGGGCGCTCCTCCCGCGGTGCAGGGCGGAGGGGCCGCGGGATGCGCCGGTTTTGGGGTCGGGAACGTTTACAGCCCCCCCAACCCCAGGTCGAGCCGGCTCCGCTCCCGCCAGTTGCGCTGATGGCACTGCTCAATGCCAAGGATAAAATTGAATTAGTAATTGAACTATATTTTTTCCCCTTTTTCTTTTAAAAAGAAACATCAAACCCTCTTTTGTCGAATCCCTTAACGCAAACTCGCAGTCAGGGTTTTCGCGGGGAGGGTTCTTTGCTTTCTTCTTAACCCAACCCCAAACGAAGAAGCAGAAGAAGGCAGAGACCGTCAGTGATTGAGGACCCGCATTGAAGGGTCCGGCCAATGCTCAGCTGTGGGGCAAGTTTAGCCCCTATCCCCCAACCCACTCCCGAGGAGCCGGGATCTCTCTCCCGGGCACAGTCTTTTCGCAGAGACCCCCCTTATTTCCATCGAGGGTCCGCGAGGGGGGGGGGGGTCGAGGCTCGGGTCAGGCCTCGCCGCCCCCGGGAGGTGTTTTTTCCGCCCTGTATCACATAACGCACGGCTTGATGTCCTGGTATGTCACTTGTTGGTGGTAATAGGAGCCGCTGCCCGCTGAATGCATGGAGGAGGAGGCCATGGCGTTGAAAGAGAAGACGAATTCCTTTCTGTCGCACATGCTCGGAGACTGGGAGTGATACCGCGGGATGCCTGCGGAACGGAGAGGGAAGATCGTCAGCCATCGACATTATATTTAATGGGGAAGTTGAAGACGGGGAGAGTGGGAAAAAGCCGCCGTCTGGATTAAAAAAACTCCAATAAAACAACCAAAGCACAAAACAACCGCAAAACCCATCCCAACCTCTCCGCAGCCCCACGGTCTAGGGCGGAATTGGCTGTATTTCTGCGTTTTCACACAGATACACGAGTGCTCCAAGGGCTCCGCGGGTGCGGACAGGTGCGGTGGGGAAAACCTCCCGCCCGGCCTAAGGATGCTTCGAGCAGACGGAGTCTGGGTCGGCTCGGGTTTGGTTTGCCCCCCATTTTACGCTCTTGAAGGTACCGGCTGCTTTTCCCATGCCTTCCGCAGGGTGCGAGGCAGGGAAGCAGGGCCGGCGGGAGGGCCGGGGTGGAGAGGCCGAAGGCGAAGGGCTGGGAGGACCGGAGCTGTTCCTGCGCTTTCTGATGCCACTTAGGGACAGAAAACCCCCGCTAAACTCGGGGTGCTCCGGGGAGAAGCGGCCGCTCGGAGCCCTGCTGCCCACCGCGCCAGCGCCCATCGCCCGGGCGTTAAATCAGAGCGTTGCGGTTAGGGCAGCGGGCGGGCCCGGCGGCTCCTCGGGCTTGATTTTTGCTGTTTTTCCAGCAGATCCGGGTGCGATCACCGCCGAGGAGCGGCCCGGGGCTGTGCTCGGGCCAGGCCGCTCCGTCCGGCCCTGCTGATGCGCGTTTTTTCTCCTCTCCACTTCGTGGTTGTGCCCCGCTAACGCTCCCTTTCACACCCGTTTGTGCCTGGTTCTTCCCGCTTCCCCAGGCCCCGGGGTGATGTGCAAGGATCCCCAAACCTGCCCCTCCACCGGCCACAGCTCCCAGGGCTGCCCCGTACACTGAGATTCCACCCCCGAGATGAATTTGGGCCGCAAGACAAAGCCCATCTCCGGCCTCATCCCTCCTGAGGCCTCCTCCCGGCCTAACCACCATCTCCCCCCTTCCAATAGCCGGGGCAAATCCCCTCCAACAGCTCCACATAGGAGCTGGTGGCGATGCTGGACCGGGGATGCGGGGCACGGAGGCCCCCCGATTTCCGCATGGGCGGAGGGAAGCGATGGGCCTGGGAAACACAGCCCCGAAAGGAGCGGATGGAGGGGCTGGGAAGGTGCGGATGGCCGGCACCCTAGTGGGGAAATGCTCCCCGTTGTTCTCCCTCCGGAGCTCCCCATGTCCCCATAGGAGGGGAAAGAACCTTAACCCCGCAGCCCCACGGCTGGGTGAGCCCGGAGGCCTCGACAGCAGAGCAGCTTCCAGGGGTAGCACAGCCCCGGCCCGGCTGGTCGCAGCCGAGCAGTAGCTGGGAAAACCCGACGGCTGCCCTGGTGCGGTCGGAAGGGAAGTGAGGAGTGGATCCAGGAGGACCCACGCATGGCCATGAGCCCCCCTCCGACCCCCGCGGCGGTGGCCTCGGTAAGTCCCACGCGTGTCTGCGCCTTACCTTGGAGCTCGGCGGTGTTGTGGCTGTTCTGGTGCAGGTAGGACTGGTCAAGGGAGTGCGTGGAAAGGCTGGAGGACAGCGGGTTGGCCGTGGGGTTGCAGGGCGACAGGGGCTGCTGCTTGATGTAAGACGCGCCGGTGTTCAAGGCCGCCGAGGCGGAGGGTGCCCACGCTGAGGCCGAGCTGGAGTAAACCGAGTGAGGCTCCATCACGCCGCCGCCGGCGAGCAGCGGGGAGGCGGGCACGGAGCTCTCGTGGTGCGGGTATTCCCCAGCCGAGGAGCCGGTGCAGCCGCCCATGTAGGAGTGCCCGCCGTTGGCGGGCAGGTGGGGCACGGAGTGTCCCGCGAGGCCCATCCCCTCCACGTTGCTGGACAAGTGCCCGTTCATCATCCCCAGACCCCCTTCAAGGGAGAGGCTGTTGGGGGGGCAGGAGAGCCCGCCGGCCGAGCCCTGGAAGCCGTAGCTCTCGGGGAGGTGGTTGAAGCTGAGCCCGTTCATCATGCTGTACATGGGCTTCAGCGCTTGGCATTTCCTCCTGAACCCGCGGGGTCGGCGGCGAAACGAGCCCTCCTCGAACATGAACTCGCTGGCCGGGTCGATGGTCCAGTAATGGCCCTTGCCCGGGCGTCCCAGTCCCTTGGGCAACTTGATGAAGCACTCGTTGAGAGAGAGGTTGTGGCGCACAGAGTTTTTCCAGCCCTGGTAGGAGCCGCGGAAGAAAGGGAAGCGGCTCTGCAAGAACTGGTAGATCTCGCTGAGGGTCAGGCGTTTCGAGGGTGAGCTTTGGATGGCCATGACGATGAGAGCGATGTAGGAGTAAGGAGGCTTCTCCGGCCGCCGGATCCCCGCGTTGGTCTTCTTCGCTTTGGGACCGCCGCTGCCCGGGGCTCCACCGCTACCCGGGGCGCTGCCGGTCGCCCCTCCGGGCGCCGCGGAAGCGGTGTCCATGGCCGAGCTCTGCGGCTGCTTCTCGGCCACGGAGGACATGGGGCCGTAGCTGCTCTGCACCGGAGGAGGAGGGGGCTGAGAGGACAGAGCCTGCTGCGCTTCTGCAGTCATCTACGGCCGGGTCCTCGGCGGCCAGCCCCGGCCCTCCTCCGCCAACACCCCCCCGCGCTCCCCCAAAAGGCCACGCTGCTGGGGGCTCGCCTCCACTCACCCCGCCTCCGGCCTCCTCCCGGCCCCCCGGCGGGGCTTCTTTCCACCGGGAGACTTCACCGCTCCGTGGATAAACAAATGGAAGCAACGATCCCCCCCCCCCCGCAAGTCCCCCTTTCCCTCCTCCTCCCACTTTATCCCTAAATCCGAGCCCGGCTGCAGAAGGCGAGCGAGAGGCGGAGGGTCGGGAGGCGGGGGGGGGGGGCGGGCAGGGAAGCGGGATGGGGGGGGCGGGTGGAAGCGAGTTGTGCTCGGCTGCTGCGAGAAAGAAGCCGGCGGCCTCCGCCTTGTCCCTCGGCGGGCCGGGCTCCCGGGGCCGCCGTCCCCGTCCCCCCCCCTCCCCGTGCGCCGGCTCTAACTGGGCTGGCGCTGCCGGTGCTGCGGGGAGCTGCTTCCCATCGCGGTGGCTGTCGAGTCTGCCCCCGGCCCCGCTGCTCGCCTTTTACTTTATCTCTAGCGGCGTCGTCTGCCGCTCCTTGACAGACGTAAGAGCGGGGGGCGATCCCCGCCCCGGCCCGGCCCCCTCCGCGCCCGCTCCCAGCTGGTGGGCAGCTTTTAAAGGGCCCTTTCCACGCCACCCCTAGCGACACAAGGGCTGCGCGACACATCCCAGCCCGGTCCCGTGTGTATGTGTGTGTTTTGGAGGGGGGACTTGTCAACCGTGGCCGTGCCGCTGCGTGGGGCTCCCCCATTTCCCCCCATTTTCCCCGGCCACCCCTGCTAAAAGTCACTGGAGGGAGGTGGGAAGGGCCGTGGAAGGGGCCGGGGCGCGGCAGTGCGGGCCTGCGGGCGACGCGGAACTTCCGCGGGCGGCGCAAGGCAGCGGAGGTGCTGCCCGGCCGCGGGCTCCGCGCTGCGCGGAGTTTCACCCACTTGAAACCCCCTCTTCTTGCGCTCTTTTAAGCTCGGCGGGCCAGGGCAGGATGTTTATACTGCGCAATGTAAACACGGGCTCGGGGGTGCTTTAATAAAAAGAAATCGGCGAAAACTCCTGCTGCCTCTTGAAATGCCCTTTTCTGTCTTTGCCGCCGGGCCGGGGATTAGGAGCGGGCTTCGGACCCCTTGCCTGCTCCGAGGCTGCCTTAGGATGAGGCTGGGATGGGCTGGTTTTGAGGGAGAGTTACACAAATCTGTGCTGAAGTGTAGCAGGAGCCTGATGCTCAGCTCCGGCGGATGCCACGGGCACAAACGCGGGGTGGGGGGAAAGATAATAGGAAGGCAGGGGGGCGAGACCCCCTTATCCTCCCCAACCCCTTCAGAAATACCCCAATGCGCCCTTTTGAGCATCGTCCCATCAGGAGAGGTATCACCTAAGGTAAGTCGCTTAAAACCTTTGTCACCTTCTTTTGCGGATCGCGGGTGGAAATCTGTGCTCTGGGAGGGGGGGGGTGGGGGGTGTGAGGGTGGGTGGCAGGAGCCTGGGCTGCTGGCTGGGAGCGGAGCAGATGCTCTGGCTGCTGCAGCGTGTGCTCCCTTTCAAGACTGGGGAAAGGAAAAGAGAAAGGAACGGGGGTAAAAAAGGAGGAAGAGGAGCCTTGCATACATACACCATACACCCCCTTTGCCCTTTGCAGGCCGCAGCGCTGCGGGTCTGTCCCCCTGCATCATCCCGTGCAGAGAGAAAGGAGGGGGAACCTTCCAAAACCTCCCCCCCCCCGTCTTCCAAATTCCCTTTCAAAGTTTTGCGATGATCATTTAATGCTTTTTGAAAGAACGATAGATACCGATCGGGTTGAGAAACTCCCTCCGCGTTATTCGCGGGCAGTTGTGAGCAGCCTCCGGGGCGCCTGTCACATCTGTGACACCACCGAGAGGGATTTCACATCAGGAGCTTCCCCCCCTCCTCTCCCTTCTCCTTCCCCTTTCCATCGTATGCCCCCTCCACGCAAAATAAACCTTCTGCAGAAAGCACCGGCCCTCACGTTCCTGGCGCAATCGGGGGTACGGGATGATGGGACATAGGGGACAAGCAGGGGATAGTCGCTGCAAACAGACGCAGGCCGTGGACAGGTACATAGTGACGGGATGCAGGCAGTAATTTCTGGAGCTTCTTAAGGAGGAGGAGGGTGCCCAGGAAAAATCGTTTTTTCGGGAAGCGATCACCTTCCCCGTGTGTTACAGCCCCGGGGCGGCTGGTCCAGAATAAACCCCCGCTTCTCGCTGTGTTTCTTTGTATTTTAAAGGGGGGAGCGCATCGCTGACCCTGATCTTTGGTCTGCACCGAATGCCCCTCCCCGGGCTGCCAAAAGGGTGTTTTTCTTTGCTTTGCATCCCTCTGTGACTGAATCTCCCCAGCGTGTCTCCAAAACACCCGGAGATGGAGCTCGAAACGCAATACAAAGAGTTCGTGTAAAACCCACGTTCAAAACCGTCCCACCAGCACCGTTTCCACCAGGAAATAAAATAGCTCCGAGCAAAAAAAAATCCCAAAATAACCCAAAATAAACCAGCAAAAACACCCTGAGGAAATCAAACGGTTCCCTTTCAAAGCAAGTAAGTCTTTGCGGGAATGCCCTCTCCGTCCCTCACACTACCTTTTCCGAGTGTGAAGATTTGGTTTACGATGTATTACAGCCAGCGAACGTGAAAAATGCAAATATAATGCTCCGGGTTCGATAGGCCTAGCAGTGGGAATAGCAAAAACCTTGGAGGGTTTTAAACAGAGCCCGTGAATTGGGGAAAAGGAGAATTTTAAGGCGGAAAAGCCGGGCCAGGCGGTGTCCTATGGTGGCTGTGAGTGTGACCTGCCTGTTTGCTGGTGCTTTTTGTGCTTGAACCGATGGGGAGATGCTGGGAAGGTGGTGAGAGAAGAAGAAAACTAAAAGATGATCTAGAGCAATTAGCCCTGCAAATCCCAGCACGGTTTGGAGCCCGTTTTGCCGGCCCGATCCCGCTTATTCCCCGCGCCCACCCCCAGCCCCTCTGCGCTTCCTAACCGGCTCCTTCCCAAACCCTCTCCCCTTCTCTCCCTCCCTCCCTCCCCGAAACCCGGCAGTGTTTTGTGTAAAAATAGACAAATCCGAGCTTTCTTCCTTTTCCTGCGCCGAAGGTATTTTCACTAGCTAATTGCTTAAGTGAAGTCAACTTTGCAAAGCAGGCCGGGTGTAACCCGAGTATGGAAATGTATATAGGTGGTATTGTTATAGGCGGGCTGGGTGCTGCTCCGAGAGGGGCCGGGGTGTTCCTGCAAGCCCAGACCACCCAGGGCGAGGGGAGTGACCGCCTTATGTCCCCCTCCCCGCTGCCCCTGCTTTGCATTAACACCACCCGCAGGACCCCCCCTCCCCTTCTTCCCCAGCACCGGCTCTTTTCCCTCGATGGGTTTTGCGTTTTAGGAGGTATTTTTTTAGCTTTGTATGTATATATATATATATTTTTTTTTCCCTTTCCTTCAGTCGCGGCCATCTCCGTGGCCTCTGGCCCCAGATCCGCAGCAAATCGATTCCTAAATATTTAAGGTGGAGGGGGTGCTTTCAAACAAGGGGCTTAAGGCTGGGAGAGAGGAGATGTGAACGGACCGAGGTGGTATTGGGGGTTATTTAGCCCATTTTTTGGGGGGTCCACTACACTGAAAAGGCTTGACCCAGGCGTGTGTGTGTGCCTGATGGCGGACGGGCCCTTTCCCGATGGCACCCGCGGCTCCGGGACCGAGAGGGACCTGATGGAGGTTTTGGGGGAAAAGAAGCCGAAAGCAGGAGCGGGTGCGAAGTGAAGCGCCCGAAGCGCTGGGGCGGCTGCGGGGAGGTGCGGGCTGGCTGTCAGCAGCCGTGCCTCGGGCACAAGTTCAGCCTTTGGTCAGAAACAGAAAAAAAAGGGAAAATCTTACACTCTCCCCCCCCCCCCCCGCCTTTTGTCTCCCTCCCCCCCCCCGCCCCCCCGCCCGTCCAAAGACTCTCCCCACCCCCATCCCACATTTTCCATGACGTCCTTCGATGAAATATTGCAGCACAGGAATTTACAGCCCTCTTCAACACAGGATTTTTTAGGAATTTTCTGGCAGGACCCGGTCCCTGTGATACAAATCGGTTCCAGCGATAATAAGCCCCGAGTGCTACCACTTAGACACGATCGCTTCCCACAGAGATCTTCTAAATATCTCCGGGTATTTATATCCCTGCTCAGGGACGGATAGCTAGAATATTTTCCCCGGGGGGATGCTTTTTACTGGCTGGGATTATGAGTTGAGGACCTGGGTACCGAGGGAAACAGCGGTGCTGAATAGGGGCAGAGCTGGGAGCCTGCGAGTGATGCTCCCGACCACCTCTCCGCGAAGGAGCTCGCCCTTAAAGGCAGCCCGATTTGTTAATTCAGGTGTAAATCCAGTTGTAAATCCAGGCTGGTATTGCTGAGCCACCCATGCTTTCTCGGGCAAGTTTTCTTTCCTCTAGTGATGGGGCCCGGTGCTGGGAATGCCCTCACATTCTAAGCAGGACCCTCGAGAAGGGTTGCCCCCCTTTCCCAGCGCTTGGGCAGAGCACTGTGGCATGCAAACAGAATGAGTAGCCATTTCCAGCTTTTCTAGCCCCAAACTCCCCCGGGTTAGAGGTAAAACGGGGACAGCGGTGCCAGAGAAACATTTCTGTGCACTGAGTTTCGTGAAGCCAAAATCAGACGCCCTCCCCGACGTCTCCCAGAACGAAAAGCTCGGCTGGGCCGAGCAGGGCGAAGGTGGGCGAGGGGTTTCCCCGGGGCTCAGCCCTATTTCCAGGCTTAGTAACCTTTTTTCGTTGTTTTCTTCCCAGCTCTAAACCAAAACCCCGTCGAAATCGCACTGATGCTCTTTTAGTGCATGCAGGGAGGGACTTTTAGCACCAGGCAGGCGAGGGTAGCTGGCTCCCCGTTTCGGGGTATCACCTAAAATCCGTCTGCACGGAGAGGTGAGGAAAGACAAAACGGAATTGCCCACACCAAGGATTAAGGGGTTATTTTTTAACACGGGTACTGAAAGCCGAGGGGACGGCACATTGCGGGACTAAGTATTAACCAAGCTGGAGACTTCGTCTACTCCCAAATATTGCGGAGAGATGCATAAAACAAACGGATGGGTTTGGGGCATGATCCGGCCTCCCAGTGCTGTCCCTCGGTGCACAGTCCCCGGGACAACAGACCCTGGAAGGGACCGCCAGCCCCGGTGCCCTGGGCTGGGGATGCTGGCAGTAGGCTTCCCAAGAGGGGGAACTGTGGGGACCCACACGGTTTCCGCAGCCTTGCAGAGCCCCGGATAGGTGCCTGGTACTTCGGGAGCGAGTGGGCTCCGAGGAAGGAGAAACGACGTTCCCGGGACCACCGAGGCAGGAGCATCACTTCAAGGAAAGAGGGAGTGCCAGCACCCGGGTGTTCCCCAGGGCAAGTGCCCCCGGGGTCCCAGCATCGGTGTCCCCAGCAGCCACCACCGCTTGTCACCTGCAGAAAGGGGAGAAGAGATGGCAGAGCCATCCACGCAGAATGCGGTGGTCCCCCGTGGGGCGGGATGCAGCGAAGGATGCTGAGGGCAAGGCTCCACTGGGAGACCCTTGACAACGACCGGCCGGGAGGCACCGACATGCTCGGGTGCCTATACCTGACAGGGGGAGGACAGCTCTTCGGCTTACGGGAAGGTTCCAGCTGCAGCAGAGGGGATTTGTCCCTCTGGTCTCTGCCCAGGGGGCTCCCATGCCCTGGGACCGGCCAGGTCTGCACCGCTCGCAAAAGCTGGTTTTGCTGGATGGAGCCCCGCAGCATCGCTCTTGGGGTGGGTGAACTGCCCGTGGGCCTTTCCTCCAGGTCCTTTGCTGCGGGGAGTGTGGCTGCAGAAGGGCCTTGCAGTCCCCGGGCAAAGGGACAGCTCACGGCAGTCCCCCAAGGGAGAACTACCCTTCCCGGACAGAGGTCAGCCACCGCCTGGTCCCCAGAGATACCTCCTGCGTGTTTTGGGTTGCTATAATCTCGCATCTGAGCTCCATTCTCCCCTTCCCAAACACAAAGGCGGGTCGGGGCTTACGTTCACAAAAGATACCCGCAGTTCCCCTCTCCCTGCTCCCCCATTTGCAGAGACCTGGGAGTGGTTTTCCTTGGAAACTCTCCCAGCAAATGCTGATTTCCATCGTTGTTGTTGTTAATATTATTACTATTACAACTACTATTGCTATTACTATTAGCTACTTTTCTTACTATCAAACGAGTGAACTCCCGACTAAAGAAACACCGCTTTATCGGCGACCCCTGGCCACTCTGTAGTGGCCCAACGGGCTCTGGAGCAACGCTGCGGGTTGCTGCATATTCATGACACCCTTTGCTTTGCAGTTACTAGCGCAGAGAATGAAAAGGCACCAAAAA